TTCTTGAGCAGACCTCATTCAGATGTCCCCAGTTGTTATGAGCTTGTGATTGCCCAGAAGATAGCATTTCACAGCCCTTTTACCTAACCTCTGACTCTTACCTTCTTTCCAATCCTCTTCCACAGTAGTCCTTGAACTTTAGCAGGATGGTATTAATGTTTTGTTTAGGGCTTAGCCCTTAACTGTTGTTTATTCTCATCACTTTTTGTAGTCGTAGGATAGGTCTCTGCATTCAGATCCATTCACTGAAAAGAGAATCTTTTCTGCTTCAGGCTAAGCATAGTATTTGTCTATGGATATAACCATAAATATTTAGAAGAGAGTTTGAAGTCGTGTTGGCTTAGCTAAACGTTTCATTTTTAGTTTTGATGCTGAAGTTGTATCCATTTGTTCTAGTCCTTATGGATTATAAATAATACTGTAAGCTTCTATATAATTTGTTGTTTATCATGTTGACAGTTCTCTCATCTTTTTAGTCTATAATTTGAGCTGTGACTTATACCTGTTTTTTACTTTTTATTTTATTATTTTAATTTTAAATAGCTTGCTTCACATGTCAATCCCAGTTCCCTCTCCCTCCCCTCCATCCCCCCAGCCTCCCACCCTATTGGCATTTCCTTCCACATAGGGGATATCTAGAGTCTGTCATTTCACTCAGGGCAGGGTCCAGGCACTCCCCCTAAGAGTCCAGGCTGAGAGAGCATCCCTCTTTGTGCTATGTACACACGAAGTCCGTTTGTATGCCAAGGTTAAACACTGATCCACTGCCCAGGGCCCCATAGGTAGCCCAGGCCTCCTCACTGACTCTCACACTCAGGGAGTCTGGATCAGTCCCATGCTGGCCTCCCCACTGTCAGTCTGGGGTCCAAGAGCTCTCCCCTGTTCAGATCAGCTGTCTCTGCTGGTTTTGCCAGTCCATTCTTTGCCAATTTGCTCATTGCTCCTCTTTCTCTGTCACTGGGTTCCATGGGTTTAGTTCAGTTTTTAACTGTGGGTGTTTGCCTCTGGTTCCATCAGTCACAGGATGAAGGCTCCAGGATGATTGTAGATATCAAGTTCATTATCAGGAATGGTCATTCCAGGTGGTCTCTCCACTATTGCTTAGCTTGCCATTTGGTGTCATCCCTTTAGATCACTAGAGGTTTCACTGGTGCCAGATCTGTGTTCTAACCTATGATTCCCTCTTCCCCCTATTCTATCCCCCCACTCAACCTTCCTGTTCCCCCATGACCTACTCTGTCTTCCTCTTCTCCCCCTCTATTCTTCCCAGCTCCCACTCCCCCCCACCCCTCGCCGTGTTCCCAATCTGTTTAGAAGATCTTGCCTCATTCCTCTTCTCTGGGGTACCATGCATATCTCTCTTAGGTTCTTTCATGTTTCCCAGACTCTCTATCAGTGGAAGTGCAGACTGACACTATCCTGATCCATGCCTAAAAATCCATGTATGAGTGAGTACATACCATGTTTGTCTTTTTGTGACTGGGTTACCTCACTCAGGATGGTTTCTTCTAGTGCCATCCATTTATATTTATTTTATATATTATATTTATTTTAAAGAATTTGTAAATAAAAATAATTATGCAGTGAGATCAGCCAGACCATATGTATGTGTATAAAGAAATTTCTATATTTTTACATAAATTGTACTTCCCAGTATATCATTGTTGTTCACACCACCTTTTTCATTTATCATTTTGAACATTATTAATTACTTCTGTATATAAGGCCTTGTTACATTTCTCAGACTGGCTTCAAACTCTTGGGATCAAATGGTCCTCTCATCCAAACTTCTCAAGTACATAGGACTACAGCCCTAGGCCATTGTGATCAGCTCTCCTCATTCTCTTTAGATGCCAGGTGGTGGTTAAGGCACAAACTCATAACTGGTCAAAGTGCAGACAATAAGAGCATGTGGAGTGCTCAGCCACATATGGGACATGTATGGGACCACCTCCTCCTATTCAAGGTTCAGGGACTATAGCAGAAAGTTATACGATCCAGAAGTTGGGGAAGAACAGAGTGATGAATCTTGTCAGAGCTGCTGTGGATGCCTGTACAAGATCAAGCCAGCATTCTAGCATGGGGGCGGGGGCAGGACTTCATAAGTGACCCCACCGTCTGCAGTGCTATGTTCAGTTGATGGCTTCTAGAGAAGGGGGCATCTGTTTTCTTTAAGGTTGTGGCTCCTGGTAAGACTTCTCACTCCAGTGGATGGCCCTACACCCAGAAGTATATGAACAACATATATTGGAGTCAAATGGGTTATTAAATTTAAAGGCAAAAAAAGAGGACGTAAAGTTGTTGGCATATGGAAAATTTGGGGGGACTAGTGTAGAGGGTAAATATTAAATACATTGTATGAAATTTTCAATGAATAAAATATTTTAAAAGAAAGGAAACAAAAATGTGTGCATTAAAAAAGGTTGCACGTGGAAAAAATATATCTGGCTTGGGTGTAGCTCAATGGTAGATACCTTGCCTAGTGTGGAAGAAGCTCTAGGGTTCATCCCTTGTGCCAAAAAGAGTGTGCAGTAAGAGCAGAGAAGACACTTGCGAAGAAATCTCCCCAGGATTCACTAGAAGGCTGTGAAAGGTGAATACAGTAGGGATAGTAGGAAGCTGCTTCAGAGAAACAGAAGAACGTTCAGCTAAAACTCCTCCCACAGATGCTTCTGTTTCCCAAGAAGAATTACAGAAGCAGGGACTAAGTGGCAGTGGAACAGTGGTTGCATTTGAACACCAACAAATACAGGTTGGAATAACCTGCCTTTCCAAACTGACATTACTGAGCATTTACCCTGGGTGCTTCTTTTTGCAGTTGTGAATGCTCAGCAAACTGCTGTGGCATTGAACAAACCTCAGGGCCCTTCAAAGCTCACAAAAGGAGATGAGGGTTCTTGCCTAGTCTACAGTGGTTTAACCATTCCAGATCACTTGGTGGCAGCATGGAGATTCTTTTCTGTTTTAATAACTTAACAAATTCTGTCACTAAAGAATAAAGGTTAATTGCAGAGGCATTTAAACTGTTGAAAGGGACTGATCAGCAGGCAGAAATATCAAAGGCCTGAATACTGGCAGCTCATTACCATCTGAATGGCACCCAGCCTTTGTTAAGGGCTTAAGAGACTTTATTATAAAGATTGGTGTAAGGATTCTGTCCCCCTTAATTACCCACTTAGTGTCAAGAACTTGCTTGTTGATGGGTCAGTCTCTCAGGGCCTTTGGCTTGAACGGGTTTGGTTATTAGTGTTGTGAGTGGGCAGCTGGCCTGCACCTTATTCTAACCTCTACACTCCCACAGCCAAACTGACCAAAGGGCTGCGTGCCTTTCACTTGCCTGCCTCTAGTAGTTTAAAAGAGTGAAGTTCAGTTCCTATAAAAATAATTAATTAGTAACTGTTGTGTGCCAGGAACACAGTTGGAAGTTGTTTACTACCTAGTAGAAGAAGCAGATAATTAAACTGAAAATTGCAATGCATTCTCCTAGCCAGTAGTATCATTTAAAATGAGGACAGTACCAGGTGGTCAGACTGAAATCGTATACACACAAAATCACACCAAATAGACTCAGCAGGTTGTATTTATATATTTATGCTTATGTTTATATATATAGCAAGAATAATCAAAGGAAAAGAGGACATGGATTTGAAAGGGGAGAAGCAGAACATGGGAGGAAAGGGGAGGGGGAAATGGTACAATTATATTTTGTTTTTTAAGGAAAGATGGAAATTTGAAGAGGATTTTAGGAAAGAAGAGAACAGGAGTCCATTGTCTTCCTCACACCCAAAAGGAAGGCTGCCTTTCAAAATGCTACCTTTACTTCTAAATTCATTCTTCTTCATTTTCAGCTAACAAAGCCAGAAGTCTTTTTCTTAAAAAGATGAGAGGACAGGGTGATGCAGCCACCTGGAAGGAGATAGATGTCACCTAAAGTAAATCTCCAAGAACAATTAGTCATTCTTTAGATATGGGATAGGGGACATTCAAGGGATAGGATTAACATAAGAAAAAGATAGGAAGTTCTATCTGCAACAACTGTGGTAGAGCCAGAAAACACGAATCTAAGCAGTTTGGTGTAACACTTGCTAAATGTTAGCAGTGCCTACAGGAAGACAAGAGCATTGGGCATTACCATGCTGAAGCAATGTCACAGAATTGATTTTCTACTGCTCTAAAGTAGACACTATTTCTACAAGTAGGAAAATTGAAGTTCAGGGAGGTTGGGATTAAAATTCCCAGTTGCACAGCTTTGTGAGGGCATGGTTGAAATCTAAACTGGGGTCAACTTTAGAACCTAGGCTGTACATAGGGATTAGAAATAGGGGACAAATTACAGATGGTTTTAACTGTCCTCTCTGAAGACCCTTCTCCTTGTCTTATAAGCAATGGGTAGCCATTGATGTGAATTTACACAAAGTGAGTAGAGATCTGACAGTCAGATTGCAGGACCTACTCCCTAGCTCGGCAATTGTGAGTCCATAAAGATGTTTTGTCCATCTTCTTTGTTTTATAAGATGAAGAAGATGGTTAAGGGGTGGTCAACCATAGTATCCTTTTCAGCTCTTTCAAGTTTCTGTTTTTTAACAGTTGAACCATAATGGCTAGATTCCTCACTAGAATGACTAGTTGGCACATTTTCCACTGTTGCTTTCTAAGAAAAAAATGGAGTGCTAGGAAAGCCCTCTACCTCTGGATTATACTTTTTATCCACCTATGCTGTTCGTTAGACCTACTGTTTCCCTTGCCTTGTACATACTCAGGCAATTCTTCTGCCCCCACACACCCTTTGCTACCTCTTTCAGGGTTGCTGAGTTCCTCCTCTCTTACTTGGCTCCTAGTCATATATTATCTTGTGTTACTTGTTAGTTTTCTCCATTGTGTTTTTTTCTCCCAAAATAGGTCTCTCCTTTTCTACATTTTGGCGTCTCCTTTAGAACCTAGCATATGCCTAGGTACTAGAAGAATGAATATTTTTCATCATTTTCTTTTTCTTCTGGCAGTGTGTGTGAGCACAGCAGAGAGAATCTTATGACACCTTCCAATATGGGGGTGATCTTTGGGCCCACCCTGATGAGAGCTCAAGAGGACACTGTGGCTGCTATGATGAACATCAAATTCCAGAACATTGTGGTAGAAATCCTGATTGAACACTTTGGCAAGGTAATTATTTCCTATCCTTAATATCTCCCCTTCAAAGAAGTGACACATGCCCTGGCTGCCTTTTCACGGTGTTTGTCTGTCTGCCTACATCTAATTCTCTCTCTCTCTCTCTCTCTCTCTCTCTCTCTCTCTCTCTCTCTCTCTCTCTCTCTCTCTCTCTGTCTGTCTGTCTCTCTTCTTTCTATCCTTCTTATTCTTCCCCTCCTTCTCTTTCTTCTTCCTTCTCCTCCTCCTCTTCTGACTTTTTAAGCAAAACATGCTATAAAAGATTTGGCTATCCTGGCACTGACTGTGAAATGTAGATCCACCCAGAACTTGTCATCCTCCTGACTTAGCTTCCAGACTGTTGGGATCAAAGACACAGTGGCGTATGTCTTATTATTTGGTTCAAGTTGGCAGTGAAAAGAAGCATCACTGTGCCACAATGACATGTTTTTTTAAGATCTAAAAGAATTAAAACCAGGCCCTTGTACATGATAAGCAAATACTCTACCATTGATGTATCCTCAAGTCTTCTTTTTACTTTATATTTTTCAGTCAGAGTCTTACTAATGTGTCCAGATCAGCCTTGAACTCATTCTGTAGCCCACATAGATCTTGAAGTTATGATCTTCCTGCCTCAATTTCCCAAGTATCTGAGATTACAGGCTTGCACCAGTAATCTTGGCCACAGTTACGTTTAACGTTAACTCTAACACTTAGCATTCCATCTATTAAGTGCCTGTTGCCTGAACATTTACTGTTTTATTATTAGGTAAATACTGGGGCTATTAAAGAGGAAAAAGCCACTGACTGTTTCTAAAACGTTAGCTATGAAGTGTGATGATATATTTAAGCAGAGAAAAATGATAAGAAGGTGATACATTTACAATGAAACTATAGGGTAGAAGAGTTATAGTTCCTCACGTAATACAAACTTGATGACTGATGTCCCTTATTCAAATGGCAGATTAATAAGAGAAAAGGAAACATATTTATGTAAGTTTTTATGGCATATGACTCGATAACACTCTAGAATAATGCCCCCCCTGAAAAACAGGTAAATTGGTACTGTGTGATGAAGTATATGGTTCTGGAGAAACGTGACTACAGGAGAACAGGGTCTAATGGAGTACTAATACACTGGAGGCAAACCTATTTGTTCAGGTTTCTTTTTTTCTTTTGGTGTGCCTGTACCTTTAAGGATACCATTGTTTGTTTTCTCTATGTTCCTCTGGATTTAACTTACATAGCATACTTCAGAAGAAAGTCAGAAAATTCCTTTATGTCCTGCTTTAGTTAAAATGGGCAATAGAAGGTCTGTTGCTTCCTCAGATGTCAAGTCTCATATTTCAGGATAGCAAGTTTATTTATTTTAAATTGCATCTCATTCTAAAATGCTTTTAGGTAGAGAATTTGATATTGTATATAACTTATAAGGTAGCAAACATTGTAATTTGATTAAATGAAAGGGGTAAAATAAAGGAGACAAAAATGAACCTGTTGATGTGGTTGAGAGAAAAAATACTTCTTATCATATATTGTGTACTTGCCACAAAAGTCTTAAATTTGTAACAGCTTTTTTTTTTAACAGAGAGTGTCCTCCATGGGAAACATTATTTGAAAAGAAAATTATTTGGATTGTGGAGGCTAATACAGTCTGAACTTATCCATAGCTCAAATCCATAGCTCAAGTCCAAGCAGGTGCTGAGATTGCTACACATAAACATACCATGGCTCTAATATAAGAGATGTTTATTTCTTGGTTATAAAATAACCCAACTTGATTTAATCAGAATTCTTTGTTCTTTTTTCTTAGTGCTCTGTGAAGCCTAATATCCTGCTTTCACCCCAATGGTCATTCATCATCTACATTGTAGTAGTTGAAAAGAATAAAAGACAGAATGAAATAGAAATAGGTTCTGATCTGGGAGTTAGACATAATTTTCATTACATTCCATTTTCTAAAATTCAGTCCCAGATCTGACTCATTGATGAGAGGCAGGGAAGTAGTCCTTGTTTCTTTTTTGTTTTTTTAAGCCACAATATTGCTACATAACCCAAATTGGCCTTGAATTTGTGGCCTGTCTGCTTAGCCTCCCAAGTGCTGGGACAAAAGGCATATGTGACTGTGTTGTCTCAGAAAGTCAAAGTCCAGCACATTCCAACTAAGACTTAAAAGAATAGGAGAATGTATACAAGGAGACAGCTAGTGTTCTCTGCCATACTGTCTGTGTAACATCAAAAATCTTTCCTAACCTTTCTGATTTTTGTCATTAGAAATTCAAAGAGGATTCTAAATACCTATGTAAAAGCCACAGGTCCGAGGTTATTTCTTTAGGAAGTGACAAAGAAAATGGATGCTAAAATGCTGTTAGGTTGAAGTGAGTTCCATACTTCTATGGCACAATAGGATGACTATAACATATAAAATGTGCTAAAAGAGAAGAATTTGTGAGTATTATCACAAAGAAACAATAACTATATAAGGAGATGAAAATACTATTTGATCTTTATGCCCTGTGTATATGTATTGAATTATAATACTGTACCACATACATATGTGCAATATGTATCCACTAAAAAGTGTTAGCAAGAGATATTCTGACTATGAATCAAAGTACTTAATTGGGTACTACTGCATCACCCGTCATTATGTGTAGTGACAGTTTGGGAATCTACGTGAGGCACCTTGCAATTATCGAGTTGTGAAGAAGTAGATATCAAGACTTATTTTAGGTACTGTATTAATCAGGGCTTTCTAGAGAGGTAGAAACAGTATGTTACATATATAGATACTAGAGATGAGACCTATTTGGGGAATTGGATGATGTGTTCATGGTAGCAAAGAAGTAGCAGCACAGTCTATCTATGGGCTAGGGACCCCAGGACTCAAGTAGTATGACTCTGTCAAATTCCAAAGGCCCCAGAGCCAGGGAAGTCAATAGTATAAGACATCTTAGACAGAGAGGCTACAGATAAAGGGATTCTGGTGTGGGTGGTACTCTGGTTTAAGAGCAGGAATGCAGATGTCAGTGGGCTGATAATCCTGATGCCCAAAGCATCAGAAGAAAATTCTCTTTCAAAAATTATTCTTCTGTATTTTCATAGCCCCAACAGATCAGATGGATTCTTCCACATTGAGGGGAGGTCTTCCTTATGTGGTCTACTTAGACTCTCAGGATAACCTCTGGTGGTAACACTTTCACTCTCACTATCAATAATATCTCTAGAAATTCCTTAATCCAGTTTGCTTGATACTTAAATTTGACTTCTAAAGTTGAACAGAAAGAGAAACAGGGAAAACGAGTTTCAGGCAGATATCCCAATATGAACAAAGTTCCAAGACCTGATACTGTGTTATTAGAATGTGAAGTGGAAATAAGAGGAGCAAATTACATTGGAGGCAGACAGGGATAAGGACTGAAAAGCAATTGACTGCCTACTTGACTGTAGTTCGAAGAACAGCTGACACAGCTAGAGAAGTGCTATAATCTAAGCACAAAGAATTTATATTCCCGAGTTAGGGCAGTGGGAAGAAGAGGGAGGTGAAAGCATTAGGATTTAGTAATTAGAAGGTGTGAGAGAGGGAGGTTTTTGATACCTACATTTCTGTAACCAAGTGAATGCAGCCACTCTCTCTATTGTAAGACATATAGAATGGGGAAGTTTGGGAGAGATAAAGGAAAGCTCAGTTTGAGGCAAGTTGGATTTGTCAGTTCTGAAAGTGTGCAGGGAACTTCGTTTATGTGAATCTAAGGAAAGGGTCAGTGAACTTTTTCTTAAACAACCATGTAATAAACTATCTAGGATTTGAAGACTACAGAACTCTTATCACAACCGGCTAATGCTGACTATAGAGTAGGGAAACAACTGTATGAACAGGAGTGACTGTGTTATACTTATAAAATGGGCAGTTAGGCCCATGGCCTATAGTTAACTCAGCCCTGGTGAAATGATTAGATTTCATTTATTGTTAAGTTGATTTATTCACACAACATAATTATCTGTCATCTATCTATCTATGTATCTATCTATGTATCTATGTATCTATGTATCTATCTATCTATCATCCATCCATCCCTGTGTGTGAGTTTTTTCTATGTAGAAGAAGATAGGTTAAAAAATAACAAGGGGAGTAATAGAACTAAGAATCCACTGAGGAAAAGATTTTGGTTTTGCCGTCTATAACAAAAAGCAGACTTTTAGCAGTAAAATGACATTTTTTACTTACTTTTTAATAGGAATATTCTGACTGATTTGGAAAAAATAACTATAGTAGACAGAAATAGAAGTAGAGAGACTAATTAGAAAGATATTTTATTTTTTAATTAGAAACAAGCTTGCTTCACATGTCAATCCCAGCTCCCTCTCCCTCTCCTCCTCCCTCGCCCTCCCCCAACCCCACCATCCAATCCCCACTCGACTCTTCAGGGGTCATTTTATTTTTATTATTTAAATTTTATTTATTTATTTAGTCCTATAGCATATCTTGTTCATGATTTTTCCTTCCTCTAACTCTTCCCAGATCCTCCCCACTTCCAAACTGACTCAATGTAATGGTCTTTCTTTCTATCCTTTGTCTCTCTCTCAAAATAAAAACAAAAAACAAAAATCAAACCAAACAAGAAACAATCAAGACAAAAATGGCAAAGCAAAACAAAACAAAAAGACCACAGAAATGTACTTTGCTTTGTGTTTGCCAACTCTGGGCATGGGGCCTGCCCTGGAATGTTGTTGATATACCGGTAACACTCTATTGGAGAAAACTAATTGCCCTATCCCAGCAGGTATCAATTGCAATAGCTTGTTGGTTAGGGATGAGACTTTTTGTTCACTTTCCTTTCTCAGTGCTGGGATTTAGTCCAAAGTCTATCATTTTCTGCATATTGTCCAATTGTGGGTCTCTGCATTTACTCCTGTTTACTGCAAGAAGCTTCTCTGATGTGGGTTCAGTGAGGCACTTATCTGGGTACAATGATATCTCATGAGGAGTCATTTATTGTTATATTCCTTTAGCA